TTACGCGCTTTTATTTAACTCACTCTGTCTGTTGTTGTTGTCGTATCCTCAAATCTTGCAACTCAATTTTAACCCACTTCCCAATGTGGTATCGACTGCAAACTTGGTATACTTATGTCATACTGATGACAAAACTACATTCTATGAAAAAAAAGTATTTTTAAAAATTCATTTTTATGTTATGTTTCGGCTTGGGTCTAATTGTCCACGCTCAACTGACGTTGGCTGTAAATCACCACGGCCCCTTACGTTATGGCAAGCATCAGGGCCACTTCCTGGAGTCGTGGTAACATTTCATTTAATTAAAGCGTGTTTAAAAAAAAGTACTTTTAAATATTACTTATTCAGAAGCGACTTGCCACCAATAATAGCTCAACGAAGTGGCTCATCATCACGTGTAAATTATAGCAGCCAAATACTTTAAACGAATATTCATATTCTTGGTTCTTTCGGTAAAGTCACGTAAATAGAAAACCAAAAAAAAAATGAGTAATGCAAATAAATCGAATAAATTGCTTTTATTATTTTCAATTTATCTCATTTTTTTTACTTTAAAAAATAAATTTGTTTTTGTTTTCTATTTACGTGACTTTACCGAAAGAAGCAAGAATATTAATTACTGCACTCACGAAAGTTTTAAGTCAAAACTTTAAACGAATGTATCTTAATGTGGAGAGAAAAACCGGAGGACCCGGAGAAAAATCCACGCGACCACGGGGAGAGACAGAGACACGCAAACTCCAAATATACAGCAGGCATCAGGGTCGGGATCGAACCTACAAACTCCTGTATACCAGGCGAGGTAGTTAGGGGGGAAAGCAGAGACAGCGAGAGGGAAGATAATTAGTCAAACTCACACTCAGTATTACTCACCAACCACGATACACTCACCATCACACTCACCATGATACTCACCATCATACTCACGCATTCACCATCATACTCACACACAAGCCAACACACATTAACAGTCGCCATTCACTACGACGTGGCGGTGACGTCACCACAATAACTCAGGTTCCATGGTTTGACGGCTGTGCCAGGCTAAGTGCAGGAGGAGGTCACGGGCCAGACTCAGGTGCCATGGGCCGACTGCTCTGCCTGGCTCGGTACAAGAGGAGGGCTAGACCCTGGTGCTATGGGTTAACTCGTGTGCCACCACCTGCACAACCACCACAGTAACAACCACACAACTATAATCACAACAATAACCACGACCAACAACTGTAACCACAACTATAATGTAACCACAACTATAATGTAACCACAACTATAATGTAACCACAACTATAACTTAACCACAACTATAATGTAACCACAACTATAATGTAACCACAACTATAATGTAACCACAACAGCAGCAGCAGCAGGGCCGAGCTCTGCTTGAAGCTGCGCCGTGAACTCCGCAGAACGTGACGTCTGTGGGCCAGGCGCCTCCTCTGTCTCCTCCCACCGCCGCCGCCACTGCTGATGTGGACACACCGCGCGAGGTTCTCACCTTCAGGCTGAGTCGACGTAGAGGAGGCCCAGCGAGCCGCCGCTTCAGAAGCTTCCGCTCGCCACTGACGGTGGCCGTGAGCGGGAATCCAAACCAGCCGCTCGCCACCCACAATGCACTGCGCGCGCCGCCTCCACTCGGCCCCGACCCCAGCGGAAGTGGCAGCGGGGGGAGGGGGGTGGGGCATGGGGGGTGAGGGGGAGGGGCATGGGGGGGGAGGGGGTGGGGCATGGGGGGGAGGGGGAGGGGCATGGGGGGGGGAGGGGGGTGGGGCATGGGGGTGAGGGAGAGGGGCATGGGGGGTGAGGGGGAGGGGCATGGGGGTGAGGGGGAGGGGCATGGGGGGGGTGAGGGGGGAGGGGGGAGGGGCATGGGGGGGGAGGGGCATGGGGGTGAGGGGGAGGGGCATGGGGGGGTGAGGGGGGAGGGGGGAGGGGCATGGGGGGGGAGGGGGATGGGGCATGGGGGGTGAGGGGCATGGGGGGGGTGAGGGGGGAGGGGCATGGGGGGTGAGGGGGAGGGGCATGGGGGGTGAGGGGGAGGCGCATGGGGGGGGAGGGGGGTGGGCATGGGGGGGTGAGGGGGGTGGGGCATGGGGGGGTGAGGGGGGAGGGGCATGGGGGTGAGGGGGGGGGGCATGGGGGGGTGAAGGGGGAGGGGCATGGGGGAAAGGGGCATGGGGGTGAGGGGGGAGGGGCATGGGGGGGGAGGGGGAGGGGCATGGGGGGGTGAGGGGGGAGGGGCATGGGGGGGTGAGGGGGGAGGGGCATTGGGGGGTGAGGGGGAGGGGCATGGGGGGGTGAGGGGGGAGGGGCATGGGGGGGAGGGGGAGGGGCATGGGGGGGTGAGGGGGGAGGGGCATGGGGGGGTGAGGGGCATGGAGGGGTGAGGGGGTGGGGCATGGGGGGTGAGGGGCATGGGGGGTGAGGGGCATGGGGGGTGAGGGGGGAGGGGTATGGGGGGTGAGGGGGGAGGGGCATGGGGGGGTGAGGGGGGAGGGGCATGGGGGGGTGAGGGGGGATGGGCATGGGGGGGGAGGGGGGTGGGGCATGGGGGGTGAGGGGCATGGGGGGGTGAGGGGGGAGGGGCATGGGGGGTGAGGGGCATGGGGGGTGAGGGGGAGGCGCATGGGGGGGGAGGGGGGTGGGGCATGGGGGGGTGAGGGGGAGGCGCATGGGGGGGAGGGGGGTGGGGCATGGGGGGGTGAGGGGGGTGGGGCATGGGGGGGTGAGGGGCATGGGGGTGAGGGGGGGGGCATGGGGGGGTGAAGGGGGATGGGCATGGGGGGGGAGGGGCATGGGGGGGTGAGGGGGGAGGGGCATGGGGGGGGAGGGGGAGGGGCATGGGGGGGTGAGGGGGGAGGGGCATGGGGGGGGAGGGGGGTGGAGCATGGGGGGTGAGGGGCATGGGGGGGGTGAGGGGGGAGGGGCATGGGGGGTGAGGGGGAGGGGCATGGGGGGTGAGGGGGAGGCGCATGGGGGGGGAGGGGGGTGGGGCATGGGGGGGTGAGGGGGAGGCGCATGGGGGGGAGGGGGGTGGGGCATGGGGGGGTGAGGGGGGTGGGGCATGGGGGGGTGAGGGGCATGGGGGTGAGGGGGGGGGCATGGGGGGGTGAAGGGGGAGGGGCATGGGGGGGGAGGGGCATGGGGGGGTGAGGGGGGAGGGGCATGGGGGGGGAGGGGGAGGGGCATGGGGGGGTGAGGGGGGAGGGGCATGGGGGGGAGGGGGGTGGGGCATGGGGGGTGAGGGGCATGGGGGGGGTGAGGGGGGAGGGGCATGGGGGGTGAGGGGGAGGGGCATGGGGGGTGAGGGGGAGGCGCATGGGGGGGGAGGGGGGTGGGGCATGGGGGGGTGAGGGGGAGGCGCATGGGGGGGGAGGGGGGTGGGGCATGGGGGGGTGAGGGGGGTGGGGCATGGGGGGGTGAGGGGCATGGGGGTGAGGGGGGGGGCATGGGGGGGTGAAGGGGGAGGGGCATGGGGGGGAGGGGCATGGGGGGTGAGGGGGGAGGGGCATGGGGGGGAGGGGGAGGGGCATGGGGGGGTGAGGGGGGAGGGGCATGGGGGGTGAGGGGGGAGGGGCATTGGGGGGTGAGGGGCATGGGGGGTGAGGGGGGAGGGGCATGGGGGGGAGGGGGAGGGGCATGGGGGGGTGAGGGGGGAGGGGCATGGGGGGGGTGAGGGGGTGGGGCATGGGGGGTGAGGGGCATGGGGGGTGAGGGGCATGGGGGGTGAGGGGGGAGGGGTATGGGGGGTGAGGGGGGAGGGGCATGGGGGGTGAGGGGGGAGGGGCATGGGGGGTTCGCGAGGGGGGGAGGGGACTTTGAAGGTGGTCGCGAGGGGAGGCAGGGAGGGGCATGGGGGGAGGGGCATGGGGGGAGGAGCTCATGGCTGTGACATCACGGGGGGGGCGTGGTTACCTTGTACCGCCCCCGCGTCTCGCGCCACTGGCAGTTTGGCCGTTAGAGATGTCTACGTAGTTTATACTTTAGTTGTTTACGTGGTGGTTTAGTTACTGCAGCTACATACTATTAACATTCCTTCCCTTTATTAATGCTACCCCTATCCCCTCCCTTTGATGCTGCTAATCCTGCATAATGCACGGGCATAATATGACTTTGAAACCCCCCGCCCACCTCCTACGCATTTCACAAGTACAGTAGTACTAATCACATACCTGCATTTCCCATAAATATGCTAAATTCCTCTTGATATGCAAATTATTTTGTCAAGGCGCCCTTCCCCCCTTTCAACCAAGCTTAAATATACGCTCCAAGCGTGGTGGTGTTTCATTCAGACGCTGTCTCCCCGACAGACCTGGTCTTCACCTGAGGATGGCTGCTTGCGTTGTGGCCGAAAAGTCGTAAGAATTATTTTATTATGTTTTATTTTTATTATTTTATTATTTCCCTTCTACGTGACTTTACCAAAAGAACCAAGAAGATGAATGCCTGCAGTCACGAAAGCTTTAAATCGAGATCTAGAGGCGTTACGTACCGGGGTGTAGCAAGCCATTACGTTGAGGTGTCTACATCCGTGCATGGGGTGTCGACATCGACGTCCGCATACAGCCCCGCCCCTCGGGGGGCAGTTGGCTATATAAGGCGGTGCGTGAGAGAGCTCGAGGCAGTCGTTGGAGCAGAAGAGCCGTTGGAGACTGAAGACCAGCTCGCAAGCCCTGGGACTACACTGAGTCGGTCTCCTGCAGGAGTGGAACCGAGCTGTGGGTGAGTGGTGGCTGTGTGAGTCTCTGTGTGTGAGTCTCTCCGTGTGAGTCCGTGTGTGTGTGAGTCTCTCTGTGTGGAACGGTCATGGTGGGGGTATTGAGGGGGGTACATGGGGGGTCTCGGGTGGGGGGCAGAGGAGGCATGGGGGGAGGAGCTCAGGTCGGGGGGGAGGAGCTAATGGCTGTGACATCACGGGGGGGGCGTGGTTAACTTGTACCGCCCCCGCGTCTCGCGCCACGTGCTTCCCACTGGCAGTTTGCCCGTTAGAGAGGCGCCGACAGACCCCAGAGCAGGTGAGGAGTTGAACCGAGCTGTGGGCGAGTGGTGGTGGTGGTGTTAGTCTCTCTGTGTGAGTCTCTGTGTGTGTGTGTGAGTCTCTCTGTGTGAGTCTGTGTGTCTGCGAGACTATCTGTGTGAGTCTGTGTGTGTGTGAGTCTCTCTGTGTGAGTCTCTGTGTGTGTGAGACTATCTGTGTGAGTCTGTGTGTGTGAGGACTATCTGTGTGAGTCTGTGTGTGTGCGAGACTATCTGTGTGAGTCTGTGTGTGTGTGAGACTATCTGTGTGAGTCTGTGTGTGTGTGAGACTATCTGTGTGAGTCTGTGTGTGTGAGTCTCTCTGTGTGAGTCTGTGTGTGTGTGAGTCTCTCTGTGTGAGTCTCTGTGTGTGTGAGGACTATCTGTGTGAGTCTGTGTGTGTGTGAGACTATCTGTGTGAGTCTGTGTGTGTGCGAGACTATCTGTGTGAGTCTGTGTGTGTGTGAGACTATCTGTGTGAGTCTGTGTGTGTGAGACTATCTGTGTGAGTCTGTGTGTGTGTGAGTCTCTCTGTGTGAGTCTGTGTGTGTGTGAGTCTCTCTGTGTGAGTCTGTGTGTGTGTGAGACTATCTGTGTGAGTCTGTGTGTGTGTGAGGACTATCTGTGTGAGTCTGGTGTGTGAGACTATCTGTGTGAGTCTGTGTGTGTGTGAGTCTCTCTGTGTGAGTCTGTGTGTGTGTGAGTCTCTCTGTGTGAGTCTGTGTGTGTGTGAGTCTCTCTGTGTGAGTCTGTGTGTGTGTGAGTCTCTCTGTGTGAGTCTGTGTGTGTGTGAGTCTCTCTGTGTGAGTCTGTGTGTGTGTGGAACGGTCGTGTAGCTGACAGCGTGCCGCGCTATTAACTGCGAGACCCCGAGGTGGATTCTCTCTCAAGGCCAACAGCAGTGACGATTATCTGAACCGGTGCTGGGCCTCCCCTAGGTCGACTCAACCTCGAATGAGTACCTGGTGCGGTGTGTAAAGGTCGCCACTAGGGAGACAAAGGCGGCCGGGCGTGGTGCTGGCAATCCAACCCCCTCGTGTGTCGTGCCAGCCTTCATACGCACTGCTGGCTAACAGCACTTCCCCTACAGACTGTTAAGTCTCTACGGGGATCTTTGTTTTTATTTCGATTTAAAGCTTTCGTGACTGCAGGGATTCATCTTCTTGGCTCTTTCGGTAAAGTCACGTAGAAGGGTATTAATAAAATAATAAAAATAAAACATTATAAAATAATTCTCACGACGTTTCGGCCACAACGCAAACAGCCGTCCTCAAGTGAAGACCAGGTCTGTCGGGGAGACAGCGTCTGAATGAAACACCACCACGCTTGGAGCGTATATTTAAGCTGGGTTGGAAGGGGGGAAGGGCGCCTTGACAAAATAATTTGCATATCAAGAGGAATTTAGCATATTTATGGGAAATTCAGGTATGTGATTAGTACTACTTGTGAAATGCGTAGGAGGTTTGGCGGGGGGTTTCAAAGTCATATTATGCCCGTGCATTATGCAGGATTAGCGATTAATTACGACTTTGTTAACGTCTAGCTTTTCAGTGTGTGGGTCCGGTCTCTTATTTGAGAGGCGGTTGAATTTGGAAATCAAGTTGTCCTTACATTTGGTCGACATAGCGGCAGCTGAAGAGGCAGTCATATTGTCTACATGTTCCCAATCCTATGTGGACATTGTTGCAGTCAAAGATAAGTGTGATTTGTAGTGTCTTGTCTAACTGATCTAGTTCGGTGCGCGTAGGTCTGATTTTCTCTGAGATAAGAGCTAAGCTAGTTCTAGACATAATTCGTTTAGCATTAGAAGAAGTTACAGCAGCAGAGGTTAGTGTAAATGCGATTGGTATTACCTTAGAGTCACGGCATCTCTTTAGAAAGGTGAGAGACTCGATTAGCTGAGCCTTCTTTGTCTTTGGTGTCCCATACTGGCAGGGGGAGGAGTGGTGGTGTTAATGTTGGTGGTATTAGTGGGGGTGGTGCTTGTGATGGTGGTGGTGTTAGTTTTAGTGATGGTGGTGTTAGTGATTGTGGTTGTTATTAGTGGTGATAGTGGTGGTGTTACTGGTGTTAGTGATGGTGGTGTTGGTGGTATTAGTGGTGGTGGTGTTAGTGAGGTGGCAGGATGCCCTGGTGGTCCCCATCTTTAAGAAGGGAGACCGCACAGACTGTAACAACTACAGGGGCATCTCACTCCTCAGTGTGCCGGGAAAGGTCCTGGCAAGGATTATTCAACACCGCCTTGCCAGGCATGCTGAGGAAAGGCAGTTGTTGCTTTTTGTGTTTTTCGTATTGTGGGTGACTGGTGAGGATGTGAGTCTGTGTTGATGATGAGAGTCCGCATTGTGAAGTGACGTGTGTTTAGACGTGGGTTTGTCACGCCCCTTCGACTCTGTGACCCTCGCCTCTGTCTCCCGCTCTCCACGCAGAGACCCGGACCGCGCGAGAGACACCGTGAGCTCTGAGCACCCTCGTCTGCAAGTTGCTACCATGGAGGTACATGTGGCTCCTCGACTTGTGTGGTGAAGTATGGGTGGACGTGTGTTCTCCCCTCTGCGTGTGCCTACCTGTGACCTGTATACCTGGATGTGCTTCTCCTTGCCCGCCTGAGTGTGTGTGCGTCTATCAGTGTCTCTCCGAGATCCTGTTGGTGTACGTGCCCGTCTACGCGTGAGCATCTACAGCACTGTTATCTATCCACTGATGGATGAACGCCTCGCTCCCTGAGATTCTGCTACCCCTCACATCCTGTGATGGAATAATCTGCCAAGCGCCGGTTTCGTCGCACCATCTCTCTGGCGGCTCTCCTCTCTGATGTGTTCCGTTCCTTGGTTGTCGCTGTTATTATTCTTGACTGTCAGCCATTGTTGTCCATCCTGGCCATGGCTCGTCCTGCCCGAGTCCCACTCACTCCTCAAGCTCTAGTGGTGGACCTTTTTGTGTGTGTGTGTAGATCAGCCGAGCTGGAGAGGCTCGGAGTAACGGCGAGTCTTGCACCACGTGGAGTGCGCTGTCCTCAGCGCGCACCTCCTCCATCCGCAGCAAGTCGCCACAAGGTAAGAACAGAAATGAGTGACGTCAAGATGGCCACACTGAATGGTGGGACATCACGACGGTCATGTTTCAAGGGGGACGTGACAGTGACCATGATGCATTGGGGAACTTCATGGTGGCCATGTTGCATGGGTGATGTACTGTTCGACTTTTGCCATTCTCTGGTCTCACACCGGCGAGACAAGGTCATAAAGAAGGCTGTCTCTGGTGCAGGCCAGTCAATTTCAAAGACAATGCATATATTATCGGAGCATGTTTGTTTGCATATTTTTCCACCAGTATGTGTGGTAAATGCAGACTTGATGCCTTGCAAAAGGTATCGATTTGGTGTTTGAACATATTAACACCTGTTTTTGTGCCAGAAAGGGTAAAAGTTATTCTTATTTCATAAAATCCTTGGCATATCTGTGTTATATTTATCTAATTCATTAACCCCGTTGTCAAATCCAAGCAACCTAAGACGTCATCAAAGCTGCATATAGCTGGACATCGAACGAAGATGGTCACTTCATCGCACGTTTTCAGATGTGCTTCTGCAGTCATCTGGAATGCTCTGACATTAGGAAGCCACTGGAGCGATGTTCTTTTAAATCTATAATTTTTGCGAACTTTTTAGTTAATTGTCCTTCCCCCTTACTTCTGATTAGCAGGGTTGCCGAAACACGGTGCAAAATAAGTTCAACATACAGACATAACTGGTATTGGCCAAAACATCCAAATCCCCTGCAAATTCCTCAAATTGGCATCACACAGCAGACGTAATGGCAGCAGCGTCACCCCCATTCTCTGTAAATCATCTGCAGGAACCTCCTGAAAAGGAATCTAAACAAATGATCACCGACAGCTGTTGTTATTCTCTTGCCTGCAGCAATCCTGGCTCTCTTTGGCCCTCAAATGACCCACCGGGAGAAGCTGGAGCTTGCCGCCATACAGGAAGTATGGTACTTTGCGCTCCGCAACAGATCCCGGGGACCAAACAACGATGGATACGACGACCACGAACATCATTACATTCCGGTGAGACTCGCCACAAAGCCCCGGCCGTGGGGGCGGTCGCAGGCGCAGCGGTCGCGAGGTTCGTGGCTTCTTGTCATTGCACCTGAAGTACCAACCAACCAGAGACAGCACACATGCACTCTCCCACACACTTCACAATCAAGTTTATTTCCCAAGTTAAGCCCATTGAGCTAATGCGCTTTTTAAGGGTGTCTCAGCCAGCAGACATCAGAGCATTCCACAATTACAGATTTAAGAAAACCAAACACTTAATAAAACAATTATTTCGTAAAATAATGCTCACACTTCTTACATGTTGTGATTTTCAAAATATAGTCAGTCTAAATGATTGTAATTTGGTGCAGGTCCAGCATGAGCACCTCCACTACCGCTATGAGGTGCTGAAGAAGATTGGGTACGGAGGTCAAGGCCAGGTGATCCGGTGCCTTGACCACATGAGGAACACCCTGGTGGCCGTGAAGATCTTGGTATCACCATTGAGGTAAGAATTCAGAGCGGTGTTGTCACAAGGACGACGTTGTTGTTCAGTCCTTTGCTGTGGGCGGCCGTGTGATGAGGTGGTGACAACTCGTGCCTCACAGAGGGACCCCGGTTCGACTCCTGACTCGGGTGCCCTCCTGTGTGGAGTTTGTATGTTCTCCCCCTGTTCTGGATCAGTTCACTCTTACATTACATTAATTCTTCATTTCACCTGGTAGATGCATTCCTGAAAAGTGCCGCGTTAAGGGAAAGCACATTAAGCAAACATAATATCCCCATATATAATGTAACGATAAAGTTTTGCAAGATATAATACACGCACAGTGATATGAAGATACCAATAATGGATGGTATGCTGTCATGTCACGTTATCATTCCGCATTCCGCCTACTGTATCATACCGCTCAGCCGTGCAGTTTCATAGCGGGCACATTCCACGTTATAATGGGCGCTTTCCTGCATTAGAACAGATGCATTCCGGATTATAATGGGTGCGGTCCGTGTTATAACGGGAGCCTTCCACGTTATAATGGGCACGTTCCACGCTATAAAAGGCACGTTCCACGCTTTAATGAGGTTGTCCCATGTCATAACGGGCGCGTTCTGTGTTATAACATGTGCGTTCTGCGTTATAGCAGCTACATCATGGGACCTCCTTTGCCAGTACCAAAAATATACTGGCAAAGGAGGTCCCATGATGTAGCTGCTCACCCAGAGCTCTCATTCCTCTGATAGTGCTTGTCTTTGTGCTGTACGCCTTTTGGCGTCCTCTGGTTTAACACCGTTTTGAGACTAGACTCAACAGAAAGCTGTCTGGTGTGGACCAATCAGTTTAAAAGACAATGCATATATTATCAGAGTATGTTTTTTGTTTGCATACTGACCACAAGTATTGTGGTTAATTCAGACATGATTCCTTGTAAAAGGTTTACGTTTTTTTTATATCTTAACACCTGTTTTGTTGCCAGGAAAAAGGGGAAAATCTATTCTCATATTTTGGTATTGGCAAAGGAGGTCCCATGATGTTCCACGTTATAATGCCTTGCTTTGTGAGAGCCACATTCAGTCACGAATCAGCTATGGTTCAGTCTCTAAAACTCAGGCTCAGCTCCAGCTCAGCCGTGGTTTGGCTCAGGCTTGAGCCACTCAGCTGCTGATAAAGATACACGAGTGGCTCAGCCGTGGCTTGGCTCAGCTCCTGGAAATCCTGAGTGTGGCTGGGGCCATACTCGGAGTCGGCTCAATTCACACATTAGGGAATCACTACGTTAAGGCAGCACCCCAAACCCCCCTCTATCCCTTGCTTATTTTATCCTCTTCCCTATCCTTTCTGGAACCTTCCATGAGCGCGCTACTGGAACTCACAATGACATTACACTTGGGGAACGTATAATTATTTAATTCTGAATATAATTTGTTTCTGGTCATTCCTTAAGCAAGTCTAAGTCATGATTCATTTGTGGATTTTCTCTGCACAGCTCCAAGCGTGATAAATTTCAGAGAATGGAGATCAAGATGGCTCTGGCACTTCAGGGCGAGGGCAGTGATGAGGACTACAACGTCGTCAAAGTCCTGAAATATTTTGACTTCAGAGGACACCACTGCATTGTCCTGGAGCTGTTGAAGTACGTACCATGTGTTCCCACCGCCCCCACCCCCCCCCCCCCCCTTGGCGTGGTTAACTTCATTAGCTCAACAAAAACTATTTTATTTAGCAGGTAAAGCCCACTGCCCGATTAGTTATTTTTCACAAGCGGCCTGGCTACAAATGATAGCTCAAAAAAGTGGCTGATGTGGAAATGTATGGCAGCCAAATACTCTAAACACGTTTCTAAATGTAGAGGGAAAAACCAGAGGACCCGGAGAAAAATCCACGTGACCAGGGGGAGAACATGCAAACTCAGAATATACATGCGTCAGGGTCAGAATCAAAGCCCTGATCTCTTCCACACCAGGGGGGGGTGATGACATCACACCACCGGGGCTAGATGTTACTTCTGGGATTCCCGTGCCAACCTCGTATTGCGATACTGTGGAGCTGTCATGTGCCCCAGGTGCACTAGAGGCCACTCCTCTTTTCTCAATCAGCACCGCCCACTTTTATATAGCCACACCTCCACTCGATCAGCAGGTTGGCTGCAGCGCAGTGGTGACGCTTGTGCCCCTTGTTTGTATCTCCTAATAGATAACTCCACCACCCGAAAACAGCCAATGAAAGCAAGTGGTCATAAGTGCTAGCTGATTCGGTTTATCAGCAAACCAATGACCTAAACCCACACGGAGCTATGACTCATATTAGTCGTGAATGTGCAAATAGAATAATAATATTGTCGTTATCATAATCCACGCAGTATTGCAGGGTATGACACTGACATTGCATCGTTGTTGTAATTGTTGTTGTTGCTTCTGCCTCTTTCACAGGGAGAGCCTCCATGATGTGATTAAGGAAGCGGGGCTCCGGCAATTGCACATGGGGATGGTGAAAACTTACACCAGGGGCATCCTCAAGTTCCTTTGCCACACCAAGGCCAGGAGCATCATCCATGCGGACATCAAGCCAGTGAGTGGACACAGCATTCAGCGCGACTTTGTTCCGGAGTTGTCATTATTGGGGACTCGGACCATAGAGAAAACCGCCCACGTTGGTCACAGGGTCGATGTGTTAGGTCTGTCCGTCTATCTGGAAGGAGACAGGGTCACGTTACCTCTGGTGATGATCCGGTATGAATTAAACTGTCGTGTAGAGTCGTGTCGCTATTGGGGGACTCGCCACAGAGAAAACCAGCAATGTAGATCACAGCGTTGCCACAAACTTTGGGAAACACAAACCGGAGCTGAAAATAATGATTTTCAAAATGTGCCAAACACGCGTTTGAACTGACAGGTGCCCATTGTTGGCTTCCATGCTGTGAATGGAAAACTTCCCAAATCGTCACTAAATCCGTGCGCCCTCGAGTGTGGTTTTTGGTTCGTAACTCGTTAACGGGCAGCTGTGAGCAACTAGGAAAAGTTATCTATAGAGCCGCACCCTTTTACTTAGATGGTGCTTCAGAGAGCTTTAAATGTGAGCCTCGACGAACATCGCTCGTCATGACGCATTTGAAAGGGGCACCCCCAGTGGCAGCTGTCAGAAGACAGGGAATGTTGCACTTGACTAAAGGTTGACGACGGCGCTACGCCTCACCTCGTTCCCCTGTTTAGTATGTACTGTGGTACGTGATTGATCCACTGCTGGCTGAATGCTATTGGCGTAACCTTCGAGTGTGAATTCCTTCTGCCTCTCTTGCTTTAGGAAAATGTTCTAATCAAGGATACCGTGACCGGCACCATCAGGGTCACGGACTTTGGCACCAGCTTTTTTGTGAAAAGTCAACGTGAGTAACCTAACCTGGGTGTGAGTTTCTGCGTGTGGGTGTGTCTGTGTACCAGTGTGTGTGCAAGTCTCTTAGTGTCTGTACATGTGACAGTGTGTGACAAGGATGCTGTTCATGACATAGTGAGTACACACATACATGTATATTTGTTGTGGTTGTTGTGCAGCTCTTTATGTTGGTGGGACCCGGCCATTCCAATCTCCGGAGGTATTGCTGGGCTACAGATTGACCTGTGCAGTGGACATGTGGGCACTGGGCTGCACGGTGGCGGAGTTGGTGACCGGCAGGGAATTATTCCAGTCGGACAGCCGCGACGACCACCTCCCGTGCTGCATGGAGGTATTTCCAACTGGGCGTTCACCCACTCGTGATTCCCCCCTCCTTCCTTAAAGTTGTAGGCTCTGGGGGGGGGAGGTAGGAGAGGGGGGGGGGGCGATTGGGTACTTGGTGACCTGGCGAATGGCAGCCATCGTATGTTGTGTGTGTGTCTTGTACGTGTGGGGGAAGCAGTGGTGCAGCGGTTAGCGTGCTCGGCTACAAACCCGGTAATGCGAGTTTGATTCCAAATCACGGCCAACATCAGTGAGGATTATCTGAACCGGTACTGGGCATCCCCGAGTTCGACTCAGCCTCAAATGAGTACCTGGTGCGGTGTGTACCTGCTTCAATATGGCCAACCATCCCCTCTCTGTGTGTGCCACAGTCCTGGCCCTCAACTGGTGCCGCTGCTGTTGCTGCTGTTTCTACTCACTACTAAAAGCACTTGCCCCTACAGTCTGCTGCACCTACACGGGTGACCTTTGCCTTTATCTCAACCATGTGCAGATCCTCGGGTTGCCTCCAAGATGTATGATGGATGCAGCTCCTGACGGAATGCACTACTTTGGTGAGTTGAAGGGTGGGGCGAGCAACCGACCGGATTCAGTGTTAGGGTGTGGCCTGGAGCTGTTGGGGTGGCCAAGGGGGGGGCCTCTTTGTATTTTCAATTCCTTGGGTGAGTGGGTGGGTAAATGGGTGTGTGGGAGAGTGGGTGGGTGGGTAAGTGGGTAGGTGGGCAAAGTGGTGGTTGGTGACTGTGTGTCTCTCCTGCTGTGCATGTCTCCTGCAGATCGTGTGGGCATGATGTTCTGCCCAGTCAAGAGAAGGGTGCCAGGGAGCTTGTCACTTCACGGGGCACTCAATAGCCACGACCCGGAGTTTGTTGATTTCGTCAGCTCTTGCCTGCGGTAAGAATCATCCCCCTCCCCCCTCCCCATGAGGATTTCCCCCACCAAGGTGATCAACGATCGCTCTCCTTCGATCACCAGGAAGATGTGGAGCTGAGTGAACCTGCCGATGACCAGTACCACCGGTGTTAAGATCGCCCTCTTTGGAGGTTCATTAAAGATTCTACTCGGCAGTGCGAGGCTCAGGGCATTTTTAGAGTACTGCGTATTGAAGGATTGCCGCTGCTACCACGACTACCGCTGCTGCTGTGCGTTCCTGGACCTCGTGGGAGAAGGGAAGGAACGTCAATGCTCTCACAACGCCTCTCTCACCATGTGCGCCGCGTGTGACCCCCGTGTGCCTCTCAACAGATGGGATCCGGATTGTCGCATGACGCCAGCGCAGGCGCTGGGTCACAGCTGGCTCCGGACCGCGGCCACCAGCACCACCAGCACCACCAGCAACGCCACCACCACTGCTACTCCTGGCAGTGTACAGTGTTTTGGAGCTGCTGAGCGACGGTAAGCCACAATCTGCTTGTCAAATGTTCAAGACAGTCCATAGGGAGGTGTGGAGCCCGGGGCAAGTCACAATTAAACCGGAAGTATTGCTAATAATACAGGTTTGTTTCGGTTAGATCGCGTAGATATACGTGTGTTGTTAAACCCACCATCACCCAACACAGCCAATTAGTAAGGTGTATCATCTTCTTGGTTCTTTCGGTAAAGTCACGTAGAAGGGAAGTAATAAAATAATAAAAATAAAACATACTAAAATAATTCTCACGACGTTTCGGCCACAACGCAAGCAGCTGTCCTCAGGTGAAGATCAGGTCTGTCGGGGAGACAGCGTCTGAATCATGTAAACAAAATGTGACAATTAGTTACTAGATCAGCACACCAGTGTGTTGGAAAGCAAACCCACCACATTTACAATTCGAGTACGACATTTTGCCGGGGAGAATTGTGGAGAAATACTCCTGTTTCGGTCTTAAATAGTGATAAATTTGATGTCATCATGTCAGCCAATCTGGTACGAAAGCCTATGTGTTAAAAAGACATTACATCTGACACCGTGACCTCGAAGCACAGGGCTGCCAGAAGCACGGTGCCCGGGGCGGTTTCCCCAGTACACCGTACCCGGCTCTATATTGATTACTACTACCCTTATTTAGCCAGCATGAGCCTCACTCAGTCTCAAGACTCTTTTTAATTAGAGTCCTGCCAAGTTGTTTGCAGTACAGAACAAATTTGCTTTTGCTACTGCTGCTATGCGATTCCTATTGAGTGATTTGGGGGTTCAATTTCTAACACTGCCGAGGATGTCCATCCAACACTGGTTGTGTGGCGTGTGTGTCAGGGTTCGGTTACATGGAGGAAAATGCCAAACCCCAAGGAATGAAAGTTACATTTTAATGTACAATTTTATTGAGGGACTGTGTGTTGTCTTGGTGAGGTCTGGGGCTGTTCTTGTTGATGTTTTGCTGCCTTGCCCAAGTTTGTATTTAGTGTTGAAAAACTGGCAGGATTTTGCGTACTTTGTGCTTATATGCTCAATTATTTCGGGACTTGCTTACATTTTTACACATTGCACTCATTTTCTTATGTTTGTTGTTGTAACTTGCTGACCCTGTGCCTCGACTGCATATCGGATTCCTCTTCATCCAGTCTAAATAACACTGGTCAACAAAAAACATGTTTTTCTGGCCTGGACTTTTACAGCTGTTTTAGACTAATTTCAGTGTGCTGATTACAAATCTGATCTCAGATTGGCTCGATCACATCTCATTTTTATGCTATCGGCATACCCCATTTTCATTGATTTTATCCGAAATTAACTCTGTCACTTATGATTGCAAGTTGTTGCGATTCAGTGACTGCTTTAGTGTTAAAATATGGTGCTGTATTTTTAGGATAGTGTGTTTATAATATCATTTTATGTAGATATCCACATTTATTTAATATTTTTCTTCTGTAGTTTTTATTGAAAGTGCAATATTTGAGATCTCAAAAACCTGATGTGATAGACAAAAACTGAAGCCAGATATGTAATCAGCACCCCAAAATTACATTAAAACCGTTGGAATACCTTATGCCAGAAAAAGTGTTGACCAGTGTAATTTTCCACATTCCACATGGAGAAAGTGGCCCAAGTTTGGGCATCAAACCCAGGTCCCTCTGACTGGGAGTTCCAGCCCTGCCGCCTGCAAACGAACACATGTACAGTTCAAACCCCACGTGTACATTCGGTTATATACGGATGTATTTTTATAATTGGGTTCTGGGTGAGGACAAATAATGAAGCAGCCATATCTTTGCCATGTAGCCTTTCATCCAGTGTGATATCGCAAGACTAATGCCCATTTTGTAACCAGACCCACGATGGGCAAAGGTATTCTGTGTTACTGCAGCATCGTTATTAACCTGGTTAATCTATCTCCGCACGATGGTGGGGGGGGGGGGGGGGGGAGTGCGATCTCTGCTGTAGCAGGAAGTTGGAACAGTGTCGTGCGCATCTCTCTACAGAGCGGAGCCGGCGCTGCCCCCATCCTCCGCGCTTGCCCAGGCCTCTAAATGGCTGACGGTTGTTGTGGAGGAAGAGGAGACTCCGGTGGAGGAGCTGTTGGTGCAGGAGGAGGAGACCCTGGTGGAGGAGCTGGTGGTGCAGGAGGAGAAGACCCTGGTGGAGGAGCTAGTGGTGCAGGAGGAGGAGACCCTGGTGGAGGAGCTGGTGGTGCAGGAGGAGGAGACCCTGGTGGAGGAGCTGGTGGTGCAGGAGGAGGAGACCCTGGTGGAGGAGCTGGTGGTGCCGGAGGAGGAGACCCTGGTGGAGGAGCTGGTGGTGCAGGAGGAGGAGACCCTGGTGGAGGAGCTGGTGGTGCCGGAGGAGGAGACCCTGGTGGAGGAGCTGGTGGTGCAGGAGGAGGAGACCCTGGTGGAGGAGCTGGTGGTGCAGGAGGAGGAGACCCTGGTGGAGGAGCTGGTGGTGCAGGAGGAGGAGACCCTGATAGAGGAGCTGGTGGTGCAGGAGGAGGAGATCCTGGTGGAGGATCTGGTGGTGCAGGAGGAGGAGACCTTGGTGGAGGAGATGGTGGTGCAGGTGGAGGAGACATTGGTGGAGAAGATGGTGGAGAAGGAGATGACAAGGACAGAGGATCAGGTGATGGTGATGCAGGAGGAGAAGAGGAAGCGAGGGCGTCTGGCCCGCATAGGGAGAACCATCCGTTCACTCCTCCGACGCGTGCTGCTGTGTGGTGGCCGGTCCACCACACAGTAGAGGTGGTGGTGGTGGTCACGGATCGTTGTGAACCACGACCACTATCACCATACCCACCACACACACCCTGCACCTATTCACCCCCCTGTGATACCCACTACCCACCGCACACCACACACACCCTGCACCCACCCACCCCATGATCCCATCCCCACCACATTCCACACAAAGGGTTAGGGGTTTAGAGGGTTAGTGATTTATAAAGTTAAGGGTTTAGAGGTTTCGGGTTATTTCAGGGATAAGGGGTTTAGAGGTTTCGGGATTTCGAGGGTTATAGGGTTTAGGGGTTGAGAGTGTCAGGGGTTGAGGGGATTCGAGAGTTAGGGGTTTTTAGAGGGTTCGGGTTTTCAGGGTAAAGGGGTTTAAGGGTAAAGGGGTTCAGAGGGTTAGGGGTTTATAGGGTTTTGGGTTTACAGTGAGGGAAAAAAAGTATTTGATCCCCTGCTGATTTTGTACGTTTGCCCACTGACAAAGAAATGATCAGTCTATAATTGTAATGGTAGGTTTATTTGAACAGTGAAAGACAGAATAACAAAAACACAATCCAGAAAAACGCATGTCAAAAATGTTATAACTTGATTTGCATTTTAATGAGGGAAATACGTATTTGACCCCTCTGCAAAACATGACTTAGTACTTGGTGGCAAAATCCTTGTTGGCAATCACAGAGGTCAGACGTTTCTTGTAGTTGGCCACCAGGTTTGCACACATCTCAGGAGGGATTTTGTCCCACTCCTCTTTGCAGATATTCTCCAAGTCTTGGTTCTTTCGGTAAAGTCACGTAGAAGGGAAGTAATAAAATAATAAAAATAAAACATCGTAAAACAATTCTCACGACGTTTCGGCCACAACGCAAGCAGCCGTCCTCAGGTGAAAACCAGGTCTGTCGAGGCGACAGCGTCTGAATGAAACAGCACACGTGCTTGGAGCATATATATAAGCTGGGATGGAAGGGGGGGAAAGGGCGCCTTGACAAAAGAATATGCATATCAAGAGGAATTTAGCATTTTTATGGGAAATGCAGGTATGTGATTAGTACTACTTATGACCGTGCATTATGCAGGATTAGCAGCATCAAAGGGAAGGGATATGGGAAATGCAGGTATGTGATTAGTACTACTTATGCCCGTGCATTATTCAGACTTAGCAGCATCAAAGGGAGGGGATATGGGAAATGCAGGTATTTGAATAGTACTACTTATGTCCGTGCATTATGCAGGATTAGCAGCATCAAAGGGAGGGGATAGGGGTAGCATTAATAAAGGGAAGGAGTGTTAATAGTATGTAGCTGCAGTAACTAAAACCACCACGTAAACAACTAAAGTATAAACTACATAGTATCATCAGTATACTAAATATACTCTACAATAAGCTGAGTTACTAACAGTAAGTAATACATTACAATTCTACGTCATGAAAAATATATTATATGCTTCCATCTAAACTTTATTCTCTTACATCACACGAGTCTACACCGTACTATATACTGCCATAGACAAACCCAACATTAAATTACATACTGTATTGCTATAAACCACCCTATACCTTAGACATTGTAATATTACACTATGTATTATTCTACCCACCCTAATGTATATCACACTGCTGTATATTGCCTATACAATTACGATACTATATATTACTTTGTACATTGTATTAAGCATCTAAATGTTATACTATTTGTTATTATACACTGTACCATTGACCGTCGTGTGAAAGATACTAAGAGGAAGCAACGAAATATGTCAATGGGTGAGTAGGGAAGGAAACTTGCAACGGAGCAACGAATCCATTCCCTGCGGAGAATACAATTTCAGTGAGTGGAACGCGGTCTGAAAGTCACCGTAAACGTGAACACAATCAGTTAAGATCCGAAATGGTTTATTACGTCCTTTCAATGATTGCTAAGCCAGAATCCATCTTCTCGGTTGAAATTGTCTCTGTGTTTGTATATGTGAATCGCCTCATGAACGAATCTCTCATGGTAGCCAGATGGCTTGCAGAGAACCTCTGTCTTGGAGAAGTCAATATAATGTGAGCCCACTGAATTGTAACGGTGATCTGCCACGGCTGAGGTGTTTGTCCTACCGTGTTTCAAGTCTGCTTTATGTTCACGGATGCGGTCCGAGACATGTCGTTTGGTTTTTCCAATGTAACTGCTACCACAGAGGCAACTTAGTTTGTAGACGCCAGGGTACTGTATGTCTGGAACCACATCTTTTACAGACGGGACCAGATCACGGATTTTATGTACTGTGTTGAATCGGACCTGGATCTTGTGTTTTATTAGGATTTTGGAGATATTTTTTGTGACCCCAGCAATGTAGGGTAAGGTGATGGTCTTGAAAGGCTCCTCAACAGGATCCTTCTTGATGGTTGGAGTGATGGCTTTGCGGATTGTGTAGTCGGAGTAACCATTAGCCTTAAGAGCTTGGCGTACGTGTTTGAGTTCACTGGCAATGTGTTCCTGGTCGGATATGCATTGGGCTCTATGGTATAGAGTCTTGATGAGGGAATTCTTCTGGGATGGATGGTGGTGGGAATCCGGTTTTAGGTAAGCATCCGTATGGGTGGCTTTCCTGTAGACAGAGTGGCTCATTGAACCATCAAGTCTCCTTTTAATTAGGACATCCAAAAAGGGTAGCTTGCCATCGACTTCCATGGTGAATCTGATGGCTGGGTGTATGGAATTGATGTGGTCGAGAAATTGGTCTAGAGCAGGCCGGCCATGTGGCCAGATGACAAAAGTGTCATCTACGTACCTCTTCCATAAGGTCAGGCGTCGAGTGGCAGTCTGGATGGCGTTAGTCTCAAATTTCTCCATGAACAAGTTGACTACAACCGGAGATAGGGGGGAGCCCATTGGGGTGCCCTCAGTTTGCTTGTAGAAAGTTCCATTCCAGGTAAAGTATGTATTGGTTAAGCAGTGTCTCACCAGGGGGGGTACCCCAGCGTTCATTCCTTGATGAACCAAGTCTTCAATGATTGCGATGGTGTCAGGTACAGGAACTTTGGTGAATAAGAAAACCACATCAAAACTGATAAGCAGGTCGTCTGGGGACAGGGAAATCCCCTTGATTGTCGATACCAGGTCAGTAGAGTTTAGTACCGCAGAGGTGTTTTTTCCAGTGAAAGGCCGTAGGATTTCAGACAAAAAACGAGCCAGTTTGTAGGTGGGGGAGTTGATAGTAGAGACAATGGGACGAAGAGGTGTATCTTCTATTTGTATCTTTGGCAAGCCGTATAATCTTGGTGGTCTGGCTGCAGAAGGTTTCAACGAGAACTGTTTGGTCTGATCAATTAATGCGGTTGAAGCAGAAATGATTTTGTTGGTTTTAGAGACGAGGCTGTTGGTGGGGTCTCTTTTTATTTTTGTATAGCTGCCATCGTTGAGTAGTTCTTGAATTTTGTTGTTGTATTCTATTTTGTCCATGATGACAGTGGCATTGCCTTTGTCGGCTGAGAGGATGACAATGTCATCCCTCTTTTTTAATTGAGCTAATTCAAAACGCTCATCTTTGCTGATGTTGCTTGCTGGCATCTTAGCGTTTTTGAGGGTTGCAGAGATTTCAGATCTTGCTACGTCTGCAGCAATGTGACTCAGGCCCTTGAGAGCTACATCTACTCTAGCAATTATATCATTAACTGGTATGTGTCTAGGTGTGACTGCAAAGTTTAGTCCTTTAGCTAAAAGAATTTCAGACCTTTAGAAATAGAACTGTTACTGCGATTAATTACGACTTTGTTAACGCCTAGCTTTTCAATGTGTGGGTCCGGTCTCTTATTTGAGAGGCGGTTGAATTTGGAAATCAAGTTGTCCTTACATTTGGTCGACATAGCGGCAGCTGAAGAGGCAGTCATTTTGTCTACATGTTCCCAATCCGATGTGGACATTGTTGCACTCAAAGATAAGTGTGATTTGTAGAGTGTCTTGTCTAACTGATCTTGATCGGTGCGCGTAAGTCTGATTTTCTCTGAGATAATGCTAAACGAATTCTGTCTAGAACTAGCTTAGCTCTTATCTCAGAGAAAATCAGACTTACGCGCACCGATCTAGATCAGTTAGACAAGACACTCTACAAATCACACTTATCTTTGAGTGCAACAATGTCCACATCGGATTGGGAACATGTAGACAAGATGACTGCCTCTTCCGCTGCCGCTATGTCGACCAAATGATTTCCAAATTCAACCGCCTCTCAAACAAGAGACCGGACCCACACATTGAAAAGCTAGACGTTAATAAAGTCGTACTTAATCGCAATAACAGTTCTATTTTTGAAGGTCTGAAATCCGTTTTAGCTAAAGGACTAAACTTTGCAGTCACACCTAGACACATACCAGTTAATGATATAATTGCTAGAGTAGATGTAGCTCTCAAGGGCCTGAGTCACATCGCTGCAGACGTAGCAAGATCTGAAATCTCTGCAACCCTCAAAAACGCTAAGATGCCAGCTAGCAACATCAGCAAAGATGAGCGTTTTGAATTAGCTCAATTAAAAAATAGGGATGACATTGTCATCCTCTCAGCCGACAAAGGCAATGCCACTGTCATCATGGACAAAATAAAATACAACAACTAAATTCAAGAACTACTCAACGATGGCAGCTATACAAAAATAAAAATAGACCCCACCAACAGCCTCGTCTCTAAAACCAACAAAATCATTTCTGCTTCAACCGCATTAATTGATCAGACCAAACAGTTCTCGTTGAAACCTTCTGCAGCCAGGCCACCAAGATTATACGGCTTGCCAATGATACATAAAGAAGATACACCTATTCGTCCCATTGTCTCTACTATCAACTCCCCCACCAACAAACTGGCTCGTTTTTTGTCTGAAATCCTATGGCCTTTCACTGGAAAAACCACCTGCGGTACTAAACTCTACTGACCTGGTATCGACAATCAAGGGGATTTCCCTGTCCCCAGACGACCTGCTTGTCAGTTTTGATGTGGTTTCCTTATTCACCAAAGTTCCTGTACCTGACACCATCGCAATCATTGAAGACTTGGTTCATCAAGGACTGAATGCTGGGGTACCCCCCCTGGTGAGACACTGCTTAACCAATACATACTTTACCTGGAATGGAACTTTCTACAAGCAAACTGAGGTCACCCTAATGGGCTCCCCCCTATCTCCGGTTGTAGCCAACGTGTTCATGGAGAAATTTGAGACTGACGCCATCCAGACTGCCACTCTACGCTCGACCTTATGGAAGAGGTACGTAGATGACACTT